AAAAAAAAAAAAAAAACCTCCAGAATTAGGTTTTCTCATGTACCAAATTAGCAACTTGTTTGTGATAAGGTAAACTTACCATTTTAACCATTTTTAAGTGCACAGTCAGTGGCATTGAGTGTATTCAAATGTTGTGTCAGTCCTCACTGTCCAGTTCCAGAACTTTTCATCAGTCCAAACAGAAACTCTGTACCCCCCCTAATAATAACTCCCTATTCCCTCTCTCCCACCCACGCCCCTGGTCACCTCTATTCTACTTAATGCCTCATGGACTTGCCTATTATAAGTACCTCATATAGGGTAAATCACATAAGATTTGTCTTTTTGTGTCTAGCTTGTTTCACTTAGCATAATCGTCTTTTTTTTTTTTTTTTGAGACAGTCTCATTCTGTCACCCTCAGTAGAGTGATACTGTGTCATAGTTCACAGCAACCTGAAACTCCTAGGTTCAAGCGATCCTCTTACCTCAGGCTCCTAAGTAGCTGGGACCACAGGCAGCGGCCACTATGCCCTGCTAGTTTTTCTACTTTTAGTAGAGACAGGGTTTCACTTTTGCTCTGTCTGGTCTCCTAACTCCTAAGCTCAAACAATCCACCCACCCCTGCCTCCCAAAGTGCTAGGATTACAGGTGTGAGCCACTGCACCCAGCTTAGTATGATATTTTCAAGATTTATCCATTTCGTCACATGTATCAGAACTTCATTCCTTTCTGAAGAATGTTTGTTTACACTTGGGTCATTTCCATCATTTGGCTGTTGTGAATAACAATAATGTTTGAGCCCCTACTTTCCTATTGGTTATATTCCAATCTGTTTGTTATATACCTAGGAGTAGAATTGCTGGATCATATGGTAATTCTGTGTTAAACTTTTTGAGGAGCTGCCAAAGGATTGAGTTTGAATTGGGTAAACTTAAAAGATTTGTAAAACAGGGTGCCAGTTCATTGGGAAATCAGTCTCAGGGTTAATGTTTTGTTAATAGACCAGTATTTGACTCAGTGGCCTCCAAGTCATCCCTTTTATTTGCTCTTCACTAAAACATTTATTGAGCACCTGCTGTGTCCCAGGCCCCATTTGGAACAGAGAGCATAGACAGAAACTCACAGTTCAGTGCAGGGCAACAGTGAGTTACTTCCCAGTGCCCAAGTTCTGTGATGAAGGAGAACACTCGTGCAGGGCAGCCCAGGAGGAAGGGGGCGTGGGAAGGCTTCCTCAGAGGAGATAAGACCTGTGTGAGTTAAAGACCTACCTAGTTAAAGATGGGGTAAAAGAGAGTTTCAGAGAATGTATCTTGTGCAAAGGCTGAGGGGGTAAAAGCATGGGGACATTCAGAAAATTAGAATGGTCAGAACAGCTGGGCGTAGGATGTTAGGGCAGAGTGTGACAGAAGATGGGCATAGAGAAGGCAAAGGGAGGGCAGGAAGGACTCTTGCAAGTCATATGAAAGATCTGGGTTTATTCTGAAGGTAAGAAAATACATTGAGGGATTCCTTTTTGCAAAGAAAAATGATGTAATCAAAATATGTTTTGTAAGTCAGGCAGTTATGCAAATCACAATCCTTGTTGAGAGGCTGCAATATGGCAGTGGGGATGAAGACAGAAGAGATGAAGTGGGTTCAGGAAGTATTTAGGAGGTGGAATCTCTGTGACTTGTTGACTGCTTTGCATGGCAAGGAAAAGAGGAAGCTGCGAACAGCCGGTACCTGTAATCCCAGTTACTCTCAGGAGGCTCAGGTGGGAGATGCTTGAAGCCAGGAGTTAAAGTCTGAACTGTGCTTTGAGCTCATCTGACAATAGCCACTACATAGCAAGAGAATAGACCTGTCTCTTAAAAAAAAGAAGAAGAAGAAGAAGAAATGATGAAAAGAGAAGAATGCAAGATGACCTCTGGATCTCCTGAGTTGGGCAATCAGATGAAGAACCCCATTTACTGAGGTAGTGAATTCAAGAGGAGAAAAGCTTAATTTGGGTGGAGGTGGAGGAGACAGAAAGGAGTA